TATTTACATGCCACATACTTTCATTTTGCGTTTTAATATATTTAAGATACAGCCGTCCCTCGTTTTACGCGGCATATTTATACGCGGTTTCGCTTATACGCGTTTGCGGTTTTGATACCAGTGATTTATTTTACGCGGTTCACTTATACGCGGTTGCATCGCGTCACCGCGTGGTTTCAACGTGCAATCGGGCATGACCTGATTAGTAGGGAATATCCTGGGCAACTTTTAAAAATCATTGAAGAAGAAGGTTTTAAACCTGAGCAGGTTTTTAACGCGGACGAAACTGGCTTGTTTTGGAAAAAGATGCCAAACCGTACATTTTTATCAAAAGAGGAGAAGACCGCACAGGGCTTTAGAGTAGCAAAGGATCGTCTCACACTTTTGCTTTGTTCAAATGCTTCTGGAGATTGTATGATTAAGCCTTTATTAGTGTACAAGTCATTGAATCCCCGTGCTTTAAAAAACGAAGATAAAAATAAATTGCCTGTGTTTTGGCATGCCAATGGTTATGTATGGGTAACATGAGACATTTTCTTAGACTGGTTTGAGAACTGTTTTATACCAGAGGTTAAACGTTATTTGACGTCAAAAAATCTTGAATTTAAGGTGTTATTAGTCATACATAATGCCCCTGGTCACCCAGCCGCCCGTTTACAGGAAATAAATCCCAATGTTCGAGTAGAATTTCTTCCACCAAACACCACATCAATAATACAGCCTCTTGATCAGGGAATCATTGCCATCTACAAAGCTTATTACACGCGACGCACGTTTAAAATGCTGTTAGAAAACTTGGAACGTGACCCTACAAAAACATTAAGCCAATGCTGGAAGGATTACACAACTGCAGATTGCCTACATAATATTAAAGAATCGATTGGTGAACTTAAAAAATCGACATTAAATGGTTGCTGGAAAAACTTATGTCCAGAAATTGTGAAGTCTCATGCGAAGATGCCTGATATCAGAGACGAAATCAAAGAAATTGCTGATTTAGGAAAGTCATTACCTGGCGAGGGATTCGATGATATGAATGAGGACGATATAAATCAGCTATTTGAATCGCATAATGTTGAACTCACTGAAAGAGAACTCATAGAACTGACGGAGAACAATTATGAAGCTCAAGAAAAAGGTGAAGATGATGAACTAGTCCCGGCACCAAAGGAGTTGACGTTGAAAACGCTTAATAAATGTTTTACCATGGCACACGATCTCACCGAGCTGTTAATCAGGGAAGGTCCTACAATGGAAAGAAGTTTAAAAACTAAACGAGAGGTTTTTGCAGCATTGGCACCATACAAGGTAGTTGAGAAGAATTTACGCAACGAAGCTAAACAGTCAAAAATTACGTCTTATTTTTCTAAAAATTAATATTTTTGTTAAAAAATTAACGTTTAATGTTCTCATACATAATATGTACAAACATACCTATGTATATTAGATATTCAACAAAAATTTATGTAATTAAATGTTTTTGTTTCGATATACGCGGTTTCTTTTTACGCGGTGTTTTCCAAGAACGTTACCCCCGCGTAAAACGAGGGACGCCTGTATACATATGGGAAACTCGAGAAAGTGGACATCTCGGAAAGTCGAATTTCTCGTTTTACATCGAAACCATGAATCGACCATCTTTAAAAAAGAAATATTTAGCGTACATTTAAATGACCTTCCCAGTCATACAAATGAGAAGGCTTGAGTAATTGTTTTTTGTACGAATAAGGAAAACTTCTAAACAAGTGATTTCTGGCAAAGGGGATGGGCCTTCGATGTTATTTTTGTACACATAATCCATGAATATAAAAATAAAATAATACCGGTATTGCTTTTTAAATGACCCATTCAAGTACCCGCCGTTAAATAGCGTATGCAAAATACACGTCAGTCCAGACGTTTTTGCACTGAACGTGTCTTGCGTGGTATTATTTAAAAGAGAAGGAATCTAGGGACTTACGAAATGTAAAACCAGAATACGCATCTACCTTAAATGAAGCGTTTTAAAGAAAAAAATATGTTGGTAAAAAACATGGACTTTCAAGATTTTTGCAATGCATAGTTCAACTGCTTTATAACACTTGCAATGGTTCTGTGTTCTTCGGAATAGATTCATTCTGCAATTTAACCGCAAAAAATGTTTCTCATCAATATAGCCAATATTGTAACTGACCATTTAATTCCACTCATGTACCAATGTGCTTTTACGATTCATGTATTATAATTGATTTGATCATAATCATCAACGCATTAAATACTTTCTTTCTCTGTACGCATCTGCTACCTTTGAAAATGACTGCCCTGTACTCGTACAACAGTTCTGCTTCACTCTAATTGGGTGTGTGACACTTCGATGTTCTTATCAGAATATAGATGAAGTGCTTTTAGGAAGTTCGCATCATCATAAATATCTTTGAACTTACGAGCTTCCTTTCTCTACCGAAGTTGGAAAGTCACAAAAAACCAAAGTTGCAGACAATAAATTGATGAGATAATGAACAAAGCGAAGGACAAGGGTGATCCTCATGTCTTCAGCCAATGTTGATGTGATAAGGAGGGTGAACGAAGTGAAGCTACCTAAGCCGTTATGCGCTTAGAGGAAGATAAGGAAAACGGACGATATAGTACTTTTATAGAACATTTCGTGTAATTGGGGTTAGATTTGTAGTATACTTCATTCAACCAAGACAATAGAAGAACAAAAATCTGCAATTTTACTATCACTTTTTGCATATCGTGGTTACTTTTCTAAATAAAACACCAGGGCTATAATGTCAACTTTAAGCGTATTCCCTAGAATGTCCCCTATATACCTGTTGCCGAGATAGATTCGAATAAATAATTAAAAACCTCCAGACGTATCTTGTTCAATCAGGTGGTGGCAATATGATTATTTGACAGTGAATGTATAAATATCACAGGTGCTGGTACGAATGCAGATCAAATTGCAAGGGAGGTCAAAAATTCTTGCAGGAGCTCAATTCTTGATAATGAGGGGGTAGATAACCATCGGAAAGTAGGCATAGGCGTGTTATCTTTCTGACAGCTTTTGGTTCTCGTCAGAATGTTTATCATTACTCTGTTTAATCGAAAAACCAACTTCGACTTTAGAGATGAGACTTATGGATCTCAGCAAAACTCCCACACCCTTACACCAGAGAAGCTACGTTGAAAACCATAGTTGCCATGAAGGTAATAGAACCACACTTACCTTCTATTAGTTACTATGTTCATTTCTTGTGAAGAATTGACCTTCCAAATTACTGGACGTGTGGTAACTTGTGAAGGCAGGGTTGTTGGTAGGATATGAAACTCATAGTAGGCCTTGCCAAGTACCAGAGCCTGTGTTCATTGAACTAAAATAGAGACTCCCAATCTTGTGGTTGAGATCCTCATAGGTTTTTGCAGGGTAGACGTTTAATGTAGATATAAAACACACATGCCCAAATGCTGGGTAGAGGATAAAAGATCAGTCGACTTCCGATCAAGCGTGCCATTTAGGTAAGGCCTCCTTGCTAAGATAATCTTCGTAGTGGCGTATGGAGCGAATTGGTCGAAAATTGTAATCTTTATTTGAGATAAATGTAACTCCAGAATCATATCCCATAGTTGCCTCATCGACTTATCTCCATGTTATACCGTTGAGTAGACGGGGAGGAAAAAAATCACTGACGAATTTTCCACCTTTTGGCAAGTTTGACATTAGAGTTTAATGCTGGCTGTATTTTATTAGCCTCATCTGTTCATTATTGTCTGCTACAGCAGTCCAAATGACCTTTGCTCTCGGTTGAGCTTCTGTAGGCCAGTAAATTCGTTAAGCATGATTGATCAGAATCCAGACAAGTAAGCGACAAAGATACAACAAAAGGGTGAGCTAAAATGAAAAAGAGTGCGCCCGTTACACTCGGGCACTCAAAATTAATCTGGAAAGCTACAATTTTGTGGTTTGTCTTTGTTCAAAAAATGGCGTCAGGTAGATTGACCCTATACTTCCCACGCATCCGAAGCATTTTCTAGTACAATTTTCCATGTATTGCAATTTCATCATTGTCAAAACCATTAATTGGATTTGGGCTTCCCATGAAAAACGATTTTCCCTATATTGCAGCAATGAGCGGGTCAGTACTCGGTAGCTCATCTCTTAAGAGCTCAGGTGTGAAACTGTCAAAAAGATTTGATATTTGATTATAATAGCTCCTCAAGCATACTCATATATTATATACATATTATAGTAGGAAATCAAGTAACCTCATTAAACTACACTCCAAGCATAATTCCCGAAGAAAATGGATATCGCACCCACCTCGTATGTGCATGTGGCATCATCGCGACATCTGCTGCCTGTAAGTCCTTTGGATCCCATATTAAAGATGCAATATTCACAACCCCGTGGCGAACGGCAAGTGCGACCGATAGGTTCAAGATCCGTCTGGACTGATTTTCAAAAAGTGCATAGCTTTTTCCTCATAAGCATACATTGTGTAAAAGATTCATCCAAATCCAAGCAGTACTTTAGAAGTTACCGAGAGAGCAACTGACTGACGGAAATGAGTGACATGGTTTTTTGTGATGTACATACCATACTATATATATATATATATACATATATATAACATCCAAAAAAAATAAAATCTCATTTTAGCATTTTTTCGCGGTTACCGCCTTGCCAGTAGGCGTGGGAATTAAAAGTGAAAATAGGTTGGACCTCAAATTATAAAATTCAATTTTGTTCACAGTTCGCAGTTTAGTGAGCTTGCGAACTTTCTCGATTGCCGATCAAGGCATATTATAAAATTGCTGTATAGTTCAGACCACCAAGATGCTTATGCCAACCCAATTTGTTCTGATATATTCCCAGAAAGATTATTATCACAGGCTTGCCTTTTGCCTATAAAAGAAGATGAATAGATAAGTACATAAGAACCGGTCCGTCCTTTAAGACAAATTCCCTTCAGATATTTATTTCCTTTATTTCTAATTTATTCATGACGGTGGCGCACCACTTTCACTAAAACTGTGGCAGAGTGCCAGCCAAACGTTCTCTGTAAGCCCGCCCCACCGCCCTTCGGCCTCTGACTTTATTTTATTAACTGTCACCTCGCCTCCTCGCTTGAGTTTGTGCAATTTCCTACTTGAATTCAATTCATAGCTGACTAAATAAATTGTTAGCCTGTGCGACTCCGCATTGGGCTTAGTATAGGAGGATATGAATCTGGAAAATAAAGTGATTAATGCTTTTAAACGTTTCAGGTCGTCAGCAATTTGAATCATCGAATATTTCAGAACTGGGTGAGCTTCAGGCCAAATGCGAGTATCATTAAATGTTTAGGATAGCTTCCAGATTTTGTAATATATATATACAAATATACAGGGTGACTTTGAAGTTGAGTCATTAATTTTCAGATAATGATTGTAGAAGGAAGATAAACCAAAATATGTGTGTAAAAATAAAAAAAAAATTAAAAAAAAATTTTACCTTGTTTTATAAAGTATCCTCCCGACAAGTATTTCAGTGCGGACCTGTATTTGATCGTGAGGTCCCCTGTGAGGTCTTAAGTCACCTGATTCACGAGCCCGTTGTACTACATTAACAAAGGCACGAGGGGTTGGTTGCACTCGATTGGGAAACCGATCCGCATAAACATGTGCCATTTTTTATTTCACTATTCACACGCGACTGAAACTGACTGTATGTATAACTGAACTGAATTGTAATCGTAAAAACATCGTTCCAAATTCTTTCGCTTTTTTGTTTCCGATGCGATGAACCGTTGTTGCCAAACACGAACACATGATATTATTGAGACAGGGCGGTACTCAAACTTCCAAAGGGCTATAACTTTGTTACTTTAATTTTACCAGAAAAATGGTAAAGGAAAAAAACATTTCTTTTGATCAGATCTACACACTGTTAAAATAAATGACTCAACTTCGAAGTATAACTGAATATAGAATTTAAAATCTTCGGCCAGGGAGTATACTGTGAGATATTCCAAAACAGCCTTTCCGCAGGCGCCAGTAACCATGAGGCAATGTAGTTGAAATGCTGGGCAAGCCAAGAAAATGTTCATAATTTAAATACATTTTCTAATGAGCTCAAATATCATCTTAAAAGTTTTAGAAAATTATGGCCTCATAAGTACAGCTTCTAATGATTAAAACACATCAAGACATTTCACTTCAGTTATTCATAATAATTATGAGTGAAAGTATTCTAAGAACGCATTTGAACCATTGCAGGTATTGGATCTCATTAATCTGACAAATATGTCTAGATTATCTAATAAAAACAATTTAAAAAAATTAGGTTTGTGTATAGACGACGAATTGCCGTTCTGAAAATGTGTAAAAGTGACTTTTGGATACCCGAGAGTATAAAATGAAAACCTAAATAGAGAAATACTCACTTGCAAATGAAAAGAGCCTGATTCTCTAAACTCCATACAAGGGTAAGGCGTCACGCAAATTCCTCGTTATTCAATCCTATCAGAGATCATAATGTTATCCCATCCTTATCTTACACTGTGTTTGTGCTCAGCAAGGTTTTTTCAAAAACTGGTATATCTCGACCGAATTGACAAACTTAGCAGATAAATGAATCGGAAATCTCTTGATTTACGAATGTTCCAAGTAACTTGGAGAATCGTTGGCCACTTTTCATAAATCACCGGTTCCCCTGATGCTTGTATGTCTGAAATATCGTCTGCATAAACCACTTTGCGAAACAGCATCCCTTATCTAAAAACATATAAAAAAGTTATACAACCCCGAAGAACTTTTCTACCACGAAACCTTCTACAACATCAAGCAATCTGGAACTTTTGTCCCGAAAGTTCTTTTCTGTTGTATCTGTGGTCTCAAATATATAAAAATCAGATTTTTATACCTTCCCATCGCGGTTAAACTTTTCATTCCTACAAAGCCACACTTGACACCAGAACTCATGATTGCAGAATTAATATGAATTGATACATTTCAGCGTCGTCCGGTAAGTAAAACGAAAGATGTTTAATAATTACTTCGCTAAAGCTTCGGCAGCAATGTTTTCCACGGTAATGCTGGTGCTGGGGTTCCATTTGTTGACCCTGAGCTCTACGTTTGGATGTAGATAATGCGTGTATGCGTATACAATGCCTACAATGGCGTAGACAATGTATAGAATAACAAAAGTGTGGTTAGGTACTCGCACTTTGTTCAAAGGTGGAACAAAGTATCCCATCTGGTTTTGTAACTATGACTTTTTAAAGTTTAGCTAAAATACGAGTATATACCGAATTTATTTGCGAGCTGTTACTAATACTTTTGAGAAGTTATTCTTTAATATTGGTTAAAAAAAAGTTCGATAGTAGCAATTAGATATCTTTTGACTGTCTTGTACTTGAGATACTAATATCGTTTTTTATGTTTTACTTAAGCACTTACTGCAAAACGTTTTTAGATGTGGCTGAATTGCTTTTTGGAATGAGTATGCTAAAGCTTTGTCATTATTTTTGCGTTATCTTTAGCTGGATTCATACTTGTAGCTGCGTTAAGTAAAAGTATTAGTTACAAGCTTAGCGCCCGTGATTTTGATTTCGATACACTGAATCTGTTGAAAAAAAAATGCTATTTTTAACAATCCAGCATTAAGTGAGTAACTACCGTTATCAGAAAATGTGGCATACTGGTTAGTCAATATTTGACTCCTTATTTTTTCTTTTACTTCTTTAGACTATCATGTGATGAACATGAGCACCGCTAATGTAGTTCTACTCTAATTATAGCCTATATCACTTGGTAAATGTCAACTTGATGGTATCTTATAGGCTATCTGAAATCTAATACTTCTGAGAATAAATAGGTCATTCGACTACGCTCGGAGTATCTCAGAATTACGAACTTAGTTCACGATTATTAGTCGCCAGGAGCGGAATTTCAGGAGTCCGCTGGAATGTCAGGATACCTCGCTTTTCTCATTTTGCCATTACTTATTAGCTATCCATCCATCTAGAAGCTAATGCTTCTATTATTTCTGGATCTCGAACATCCTCTGTGCTAAGAGATTACAGAAAACATCGGCACGTCCGCAGTCGAATTATCACGGTTGAATTGTCATGTTGCATTGTCTCTGATAGAACAATGTATTCCTATTAGAATGCTGTGGACAATAAAAGGATGGCGAAGTCATATAAGAATCGCGCTTTTTAGCCATAAATCGAAGGTATTTTTACGAGATAACATATATTTGAAGTTGAGCAATATAAGTTGAAGATGCCCTAAAAACGAGGCAACGAGAAATTTAGATGAATATGGCATCAGCAGCTCATAAAAAAACATAAACTAATTCTATCAGAAAAAAGTCAACTACGAGCATGTAAAACCAATGATTTGAATAGATGAAGTGGGCCAAACAGGCCTATATAAATTCATCCCTAGTTCCCAGCCAATGCCCGATATGACCGAATAGTCGCCGAGTTAGCAGCGCAGCGGTAGTGACTCGTAAGACTTAAGGACAAATATATGCCTAGAATATGTCTAATAGATGCGTAAAATTACCGGAGATTGAAGAATGCAAATATACTATCAAAAAAAAAATGGAGACATCCCCACCCCTGCAGACCTCAACTCCAAATGTTTAAAACCCTCAAGAAATTTTCAGAAGTGAGAAATTTGTTTTCTTTACATTTATATCCACCATCACTGGGCCTACTTACTACAACCGCAGTAATTCTCATTTTCCTATATTATTCGCATAAAATTGATGAGAATTCATGCATATTCAATATTATACTCGTTTGATTCGTGGCAGGCAACTACTTGTGAACAGCTTGTGAGGTAATAGAAAGTATGTTAAGATGGAGCCACTTCTTATGGAGCCCTTAAGAATGAAACATTTTGGGATGCAAAACATCGAACAAAGTCGCATTATTCTTACATAACCCACCAAAACAGGCACTGAAAAAGAGGGGTGAACGGCAATAAAAAACAAATTGTTTTCATCATCGCATTTATGGTGGTGTGCAGTCTGTATCTTACAAAAGATGAATCTTTCAATAACTATGAAAGTTGTTGTTGATTTGACATTTGACATTTTTATATGACCTTTGCTGTAACACTGTATTACATGATGAAACGTCTCGTGAGTTCCACATTTCTTGTAAATTCACGTCTTTTGGGAATAATTTCTTTCATCTCATCCTTCCCTGTTTTGCCAAAATAAAATATGACTCCATTGTTATATAGCTTTTTTCGTAAATGTGAGTATGAATCGCAGTTATATATATACTAAGTGACATATACATCCGAACACCCAGTTTAAATGGTTTTATTTTAATAAAATTTTGTATAAGTACTTAATGAAGCATAATGAGTAAATGATAAAAATCTCAAAATGATTGCACTGCTTTAAAGCCCGTTGACCTTTAATAATGTGTGGATGCACCCTGATGTACTACGCATTCTCCAACGCGCCTAGGCATGCTTCTGATCAGGTGGACAATGTCCTCCTGTGGTATCTCATTCCAGGCAACCACCAACTCCTCTCGAAGTGCTTCTAGAGTCTGAGGAGGACGTTGCAAATTGAGCAATCTCCTACCCATCATATCCCACACGTGCTCAATTGGGGATAAGTCGGGAGATCTTGGTGGCCATGTAACAATGTGTTGTTATGTTGAAAGAAGTCTATTGTGACTCTTGCAACATGTGGTCGGGCATTATCTTGTTGGAAAGTTGGATCTGCCAGGGTGTCAAGATAGGGTTCTAGAACTTCGTGGATATAACGCTGCGCGTGCATGTTACCTCTGATGAAGATTAAAGGTGACCTGGAACCATAAGCTATAGCACCCCAAACCATAACTCCAACAGTGTGATGAACATGTTTTTCAACAAAAAACTGTGGATTCCTCCTTTCACCACGTCGCCTTCTAACCCTGGTACGACCATCGTGCATGCCTAAACAAAATCGAGACTCGTCACTAAAGACAATACTGTTCCATTCCTGATCCCAGAGTGACCGTTGTCTGCACCACTCAAGGCGATTACGTCGGTGTTCTCGAGTTAAAGGGAGGACCCAGTGTGGCCGGTATAAAAACAAGCCAAAACTTCTCATTCGTCGGTAAACACTTCGCATGCCAATAGGTCTTCCGTGTTCTGCAAACCATTTATTTGCAATGGACCTGGTAGTGGAGAAACGGTCCCTTAAGGCCAATAATCTTCGGCGATCTTCACAGTCTGTTGTTCTACGGCGGCGTCCAGTGCCCCTTGCTCTTTGCGTACGGCCTTCTCGAAGCCATGCCTGATAACACCTAACCACAGTGTCTACACTTCTTTGAACTCTAACTGCAATTGTCCGAAAAGAAAGTCCAGCTTCCCGAAGTCCCACTATACGGCCCGTATCAAACTCACTAAGTTGACGAAATCGTACAGGTCTCCGTACTCTAGGCATCGTAACCAATCGTAAAGGATGTCAAGAACCAAAATCCGCCAACGTTGATTCTTTACTGCGGCTGAAATATGCATTTTTAGAGCGTTAGTGAATTAAAAAAAAGCAGTATAAAAACCGGAATGTCCAACTGATAAGGCTGAAAATTTTTTCACTTGTTATTTACAGTAAGATAAATACATTCACCAACTTTTATTAAAATAAAACCATTTAAACTGGGTGTTCGGATTTATATGTCACTTAGTATAGTTATAATGTTACGAAATTATCATAAATAAAAACGTGACGTCCTCAGAAAACTGATTCCTATTAAGAGATTATTTGAGTCCTAGAAGACAGCTTATCACATAGGTAAAAGCGATACTGATTATTTAATTCCCTTTTCAATATTCTTCATACTGGAAAAATACATTAACTCAATGTGTGTAACAGAAAATACAAAACTGAAAGTGAAGCACCTTGTGTAAGCCATTCTTCATTTGAGAAATACCGTCTCTAGGACATCCCTCACTAATACCATGATGGTATTGCATATTCTGACAAGATGGAAGTAGGTACAACTGCAGACAGTAGCTACCGGTATTTTTTCGCTAGTCATTTGTCGGTGGTTGTTGGAAAAGGTTAACTTTGTGTGTTAGACTACGAGCAACAACGCATACCTTGTTTTTCGGTTGTATAGCAAATTACTTTTCGTTTTTGTTAGAAAATCTTGTACTTTATTACGTGTTAAACGTAAGGAAAAGATAAGCATAACAAGCTTCATGCTTGCTAGGTTTTAGATAAAACTCCATTAGGGTTTATGGCTTGAAAATAAAAGTTCCCGTCAACTTCCGAGCACAGTCACCTTTAATACGTCAGGGTTATAAAAGTTGCAAATACGAGTATAAGAGCGAACTCGAGATACATTGATGTGAGCACAACATCGTAAACTGCAAACTGCCATACTTAGTAGCTATTCTTCTTTAAATGAGAAGATAACCATACTTTTTTATCTCCAAGATTTACGGCAGTAGTCTAGTCATTGACGAAAAATACTTCGGTTCATTATTCTGAAGGAAGGAATGATTTGAGATGTGTTAACATATTCTCCCTTTCAGTCCACTGTCAACTTTATCATTAGAGACCACTGATTACATTTTAATGATCCTGAAAATATCACACACGATGACATAGGACAAACGGCGGATTATTTTCATACTTTCAATATTGAAAAAAAAATCAAGCTAAGAAATAGAATTTTCTATTGATCACTGTTTATTAGAGCGATCAGTAGGTTATTTGACTGTGGTTAAAGCTTTGTAGTCAGTAAGTCTGTCAG